AGAATGTAATCAGTGCCATCCATCTTGTGAGAAATGTACTGGTGAGTATGTGAGATATAGAAGGTGTATATAAAATTAAATAGTAAATAACAATGTTTTTTTTCTCTATATTTTGCAGGTCCAGGTCCCCAAGACTGTTCAAAATGTTCTCTTAATGCCCAATTAGTTGAGAATGTATGCTACCCACGATGCCAGGCTGGATATTACTATAATGATGGTGGTGGCACAAAACACAATGTTCCTGATGATGACCATATAGGTGGCCTAAATGCTGCTTATAATGTTCTAAGTAACCAAACTATCCCGGTATGTATGAAATCACAGTTGTTGCCCATAAATTAACTTGTACACTTTTTCAACAATTTTGATCAAGTTCTGGAATAGAAAGGTGACTACTGGGATAAAAAAAAAATTATAGAAAAATCTGGTATATATTACTACAGCTGAATATTATTACTTCATTTCACTTGGAGTATTGCAGTATACTGATATCAATTCATCAATCTTTTTAATTATCTTAAAAGAAATATTTTAAAATTGTTTATCCGCTTGTATTCACAAACTACATTGATTATGCAGAAGAATTAAATGTTAGACGTGCAGACAATGTCAGTATTGAAATAATAATAATGCCTATCCTTTTTGATAATAATAATAATAAAATTGATTTTTATTTCTTGACCAGCAATGCAGGAAATGTCATGAAACATGCAAGGAATGCATTGGGGGTGGTGCTAAGAATTGCCTAGAATGTAATATTCCTAAACAGCTCAACAAAGTCACTCATCAGTGTGTTGAGTGTTGTGATCCTAACAGTGTGACAGTTCCAGATAATAATTGTTGTGTCTGTGATAATGGTAAGACTATTTTCATTTCATGTACTTTTGCTTCATCTTCATAAATATTAATAAATTTCACAATTCAACTGAAACAAGAGGTTTTTATTGGCCAATTGCATAACATTGAAACGTTTTCAAATGACGTTATTTTGCACTGTGCTCATTGATTGGCTGTTTTAGTCAACTCTCATTAACATTTATAAATATTTATGAAGACCTTTGTTGGGCGAGGTCTTCAAGTCAACTTTTTGTCACTTTTTCATTATCTGTGAAATTAATTATCAAATCAATTTTTTAATGTTTATTTATTTCAATAATTGAGGTCAAGACCTAAAGCCAATGAGAAATAATGTTTATTTGGTCCAAAAATATTAGAAAAATGTGCAAAATGTTGAATCCAAATTTTGACCGCAAAATTATGGCTTTCAAATTATTAAAAAATACAATTCTCCGAAAAATTGTTCAAATACGTTTAAAAGTGATCAAAAATAAATGTGTAAACCAATACAGCACAGCAATGGAATTTCCATTATCCTTTGGTAACAACACTCAAATTACTATAACTGTAATTTGAGGGACCCCAAGAAAAAAATGAGTCCATCAGTCAGTCCATGCTTTAAAATAATTGATTTGATTGTAGGAAAAAAAAAAAAAATACTTTTGCTATAAATAAAAGGTGATCAATGAAATAGAGCAGTCAAATTGATGGAGCTTTTGTGATAGTAGTACCATAGACTTACAATAATGCTGTACCGCCATTTTTTCTCACAATACCAATATTGTCGGGCTTTTATAAAAAATATTGTGATAAATTCCAATCTTTATCTGTTCTCTCCAGGTACATGTATTTTGAGCCCTGCAAGACGCCAGTATACCCCAATAGTAGAGACTAAGAACGTTGCCGGTATGATTGGAGGCGTTATTGTATGTATCGTAACTGTGTTTTTTATAGTGTTTGGAGTTCTACAGTGCAGATCAAAGAGAGCATTGTGTTTTGCTCGTAACTATCACAGATTGCCAACGCACTATGAGTCAAAAACTGACGAAGTATCCATCTCAAGAAAAGAGTACCTAGATGAGGATGTGGAGATTTACACAAAAAATGATTTGTAGATCGGATTATATTTGGAAACAAGATAACATTGCACTTCTAGCCATGAGGTGGTCATACTCGCATGCTAGTCAGTTTAATTTAATTCACTCTTTCCAGGGTTGTCCCCACAGCGTTATAGAGTATTGAACCCCTACTGAATGAGCGATAAAGCTCAATTTTCATAACCTGGTGTTATGCAAATTAGCTGCAATGCTATTTTTTTTTAAAAAGAACATTGCTTTTCCAGATTCTTAAACAACCTACTAGGATTAATTTCCCGACCCTCCAGAACATATTCGAATCTTGGTGTGAAGAAGACAAATCTGGGTTTCAAATGATGTGACTTAAACTTTTAATTTTTTTGTTGCATCTTGTTTTTTAAATTTAGCATGTATATCAGTTAATGCTGAATAGTGTGCTTGTATGTATACTGAGTTACGTGTAATACAAATATCTAATATCAATTCAATTTTTCTCTTTTATTTTATTTTACTATTATCATGTTTCATCTCAGTGTCTGTTCAAATTTGTCATTCTTCATATGATTGTTTATATTCGTCAGCTGCCCACTCAAACACCGCCACGAATGCATAAGTACAATACAAGAAATGCATATATAGCAATAACATAACCATTATACCTGTACGGCCGTACCCAATATGTAATCAAATTGCACTAAATTCAAAGTGTAATTGACATTTTCAGCAATAAATGGGGGTTCTGACAGTTGTTTTTTTTGGTTCATCTGTTTGATCCATATCGGTGCACATCAATATGCTGTGTATCTACCTCATTTTGCTATAGCAGGATCCGTGGCGGTGTTTGAGTTGGCAGCTGACGACCAAAGGTTAATAACACCCACACTTGACAGGGCTAAATTTTACTATGCAAGTCAACTTACAAAAAAATTTTAAATGCAGACACAACTATGCAGCACATTCATAAAACAGCCACTTCTCTCCACGGTTTGTAACATCCACAAATTTGCATATTGAGTTGAAGCATTTATCCATGACTTGGTTCGTTGAATGAACCTGTCAAGGGACACGCTTCTTTCTGATTGACTTGCCAATCAGGCACACTCTGTAACTTAACAGATTAAAAAGCCTTTTCTGACAAATATCATATCTTATGTTTGATGTATAAATAAGAATTTTACTTTAGTATTCATAAAAAAAAAAAAAAAATTGTTTTTTCTTTAAATGAAAGTTTTTTTTTCAAAATCTTTTTGTCAGTGCGTATGTAGTACATTTTGTTTTTAGTTTGTACCGTAGTTTAACAATTTTGAATCAAGCAATATAAAATTATTACAAGACTTTAAAAGCAATATCGAATATAGTCATCCATATATCATTGCATTATATAAAAATGTTGTAATTTTATTTTTAGTTAGTGCTGTAGTTTAATCGTTTTGACTTGAGCAATATCAGACTTAGCAATTCCAAATATGGTCATCCATACAAAAACTTTTGTAATTTCTGCTAATTTTGTTTTATATAGAGATACATTTGTTTTATCGAAAACAAATCAGTCATGTACTTAATATCAATATTATCTATGCAGTATGATATGACAAGAAATTTTAATAAGTGATTCTTATCACCAAAGAATTAATGCAATAAATCACTGCACTGCACTGTACATCAGTCACAAATTTGTATCAAATATTGGATTTGTTTTTTATCCATGCAGATTGAAAAATATGTCATCACAAGAATACCAGAAAGTATGCACAAAGGCAGTACAATGCTTGTATTGACCGACACATAGCAGAGATCGATTTGACCCTGCAGAGCAATGCGTACTTTGCGGAATTCTTGTTTGTAGTAAAAATTTGACAGTCGAACAAAAACATTTTGAATGTGACATCAATAATCTGGATTGCATGAATGTTGTTTATATAGTACCCCCCCCCCCAATATGGGAAAATTTAAAAGAACGCAGACATGTCCTGGAATGAAGGCAGATATTGCATTTTAAAGAATGGTAAATTTGTTTGTTTTTGGTGCTATGTATAAATAATAGTGATTTTCGCTATGAAATTTTACAGAAAGTTTTTTACATAAGGTGACAAACAGAATATCGACAAGGGTTACTGACATTGCTATATTGTTCTGAACACCAAAACATCAACATTGCTAGCAAAGTTGCTGACTGCTTTGTTATGCGCACCTGGAGATTGTTGAATGATTAGAACTGGTTAGTTGTAACCACTTTTACAAGGGTGCACCAGACACACCATTGACGTGGCAAACCAATCAGCAACTTAGCTGGCAATGTTGCTGTTTCAGCAACAATATGGCGGCGACAGTAACCCCTTTAATTGCAAAAAGCCCATTTTTACTATCTTTCACAAAGCTGCATACCATTTTTCAAAAAAAAATTAAGTCCATTTAATTCAAAATTAACTAAAAAATAGTGATAAATGATAGTGATAGCGATAAAACAATTTAGAATCTTTTTGGTAGTCTCCACCTAATTCATCTCTCTGAAACAATTTTTCAACTATTATGATAATGAATGACCTAAACTGTGCGCAGGTCAATGTAACAGCGCCATCAAGTTTAGATTGGACAAAACCCAAAACCTATCTTGCTAACTGACTGTCTGAAAAATTCCCAGTATTGCTGTAAAGTACTCAAAAATAGTTATTCTAATGAGAGCACGATTGGTACATTTCCACAGCTCAAATTGTTCTAAAAAATAACCCTCCAAGAAACTTCAAATGATCTGCATGTAATGAAAACTGACTCAAATTATATTAAAATATATGTTAGTTGCAAGAAAATACAAGTGATTTTAAAAGAAAATTATCACTTATGTTTTAATTAGCTATGCAAATCTCTGATGCATTTATTATATGTTCATCCGTTACACGTATTTGCTCTTTTAAAATCACAATGCACTTAAATTACATCAGAGTTTTGGTGTCAATAAAATCCAGCCAATACAAAATGTTTGATTCATGTGTCTCTATTAGAAGTGCATTTCTAATGGAGCAAATACGGTGTCTTGCATGTTTTCACAAAACTCTTCATCAGTTGCAGTTATAAAAATAAATCAGGCCCAAAGAAATTAAGATGTTCCTTGATCTCTTGCTGCTGTTGTTGTTGTCCGGAGCTCCCTACCACTTTTTTTTATTTTTTTTTAAATGGGTGTAAACTTAGTCGTCATAAACAAATATCATTTACTTTCAGTAATTTACCAAACAAATTTTAAGTTACCTTCATGGGCAGTAAAAAAGAAAGGACCATCATTAGGTAACTGTATGATAGAGGGCAGCATTCATTTCAAATGCAACACTGCTCTAACATTGTATATTTATTCAGAGAAGGTAAATTTTTCTCAATGGTGCTTATTAGTCATAAATTAAATTGATTTTCCTAGATTGTTTTATGTACTTTAAGGGGTTTGTCTACATTGCTAATAAAATGGCTTTTATGAAGTTATTTGTGTGTTTTGTTAATGCAGGTTGGACGAGTTTGAGATGTATACAAAATTGAGCATTTATGACACAACAGATAAAGAGATAAGAAACACGTTTATTTGGCAAAACAGGGGGGGGGGCACGCTGCTGGGACCATACAAACAGTCTGAAATGCATAGCTGAAATCTGCCTAACAATGAGTGCTACCTAACTTGCCTAGATAGTCCCACAGCGAGCCCCCCAGTGAGACGGTTAGCAGTGTCAAATACTACCGCAGAAAAGAAATATAGTAAAGTACAGCAAATTTCTGAAAAGC